CTCTCTCTCTCTCTCTCTCTCTCTCTCTCTCTCTCTCTCTCTCTCTCTCTCTCTCTCTCTCTCTCTCTCTCTCTCTCTCTCTCTCTCTCTCTCTCTCTCTCTCTCTCTCTTCCATCGTGATAGCCGGTAGCTTCGTGTCTAATCTAGTCGCGTCAATCCGCGCTCGTCGAATCAAGAGAGACAACGATTAAATCGGTATCGAGAGAGCGCGAATTTCGATCGAAACGAGGAAGGACAAGGGGGATCTTTGAGTAGGACGTAAATAAGAGGCCCGGAAGCACGAGCGATTTGAGGAAGAAGTGGAGGAACGGAGGGGAGAGGAAGGTAAAACGGGAAAGAGGAGCCACTGACGCGCGTTTCACCGATCGACCGGAATTCACCGATGGTCGGAATCAGTTTTTCTATCAATTGTCACGATCGATGGAGCGCGCGCTACAGTGATGAATACCGCGAGTCGATCTCCATTGACGGCTTCGTGATCACCGCGGCATTACCGCGTAGCAATCAACGTAATTTCCACGTGTCGACGATTACTCGACGGTTTGCCCGACGGCAGCTCGGTATCAGGGAGTGAGAGATCGATCGCGCAATCGCCAGAGTAGTTTCTAAGGAGGGCATTGTAAATAAGCCGCGCGGGTAGTCAGACGGCCCTTCACAGGACCCGCTTTCAGGTCTCGCGTCTCTCCGATCACCGTGTGTACGCGCTATTATTTGTACACGCATACGTAATACTTCAACGAGTGTTTCTTCTCATTGCCTTCGTTGCACCTCATCGCGTTTCGTTGTTCCCCCGTGCTGGCGACTTCCGCGAAGAGTCGCGCGCGAGCTCCGCGCCGCGACGCTCGACGTCATACGCCGACGTCGACGGCGGTGCTCGATGGTACCGTTATTTCGCGTTCTTAAATCTCAAGCGGTTCACCGAGCGCTCCTCGGTAAACATGTTTGTCCCGAAATTAGGCCGCGGAATCGTCGAAATGCGTTCGTCCTCTGAAAGTTTAATTTAGGATGGCAAACCACCCTCGAAACGAGGAACGCTCGTTAAGCCTCTTGAGATGTAACGTGAAGACTCTATTTATTATTTCTCTCTTTTTATCCCTTCTCTAACTCTACATCCTGATCGATCTAACTTAATTTATTGATCAAAATTGTACGACATTATTCTTTCTTTACTTTACTTCGTTTAGTACTTAAGTTGTCCGTCGAGGAATATTCCCGGAATTTGGGAATATGTTTTACGTATGTGTTTTAAGCACACATCATACATACACGTATACATACATACATGCATACATGTTCACACAAACATGTTCATACATCCTGACAGATACACGTCAAATGTATGACGTTACATGCAATGCGCGTAAATGTGTTGTATACGTTTACTATACCAGCGCGAAAAATGTATTCACGAAACATTCGTTATAATTAATTGTTTGAGAATTATTTTAATTACATGATCATTTTTATTTATATAAAAAAAATTTACACGTTCCTCTTTTTCTTAAACCTCTTTTCCTTATATGTAGATTAAATTATATAGATGAAAAAAATTGATTAATTTTAGAGTTATTCATATCTTTTTCTTCTCGTCTTAAAGTATTCTACGTTATTCTTGATTTTGTAGAATTAATTGAAGGCGCGCCTGTTCTTGGAAAAAGGTTTGTATTTGGCGATCATAGCTTTACGTTCTTTCGCAAATCTCATTACTTTTCGATACTCTTTAGCTAGATCGTATAGACTGCTTTCGGATTCCAATTTTTCGGTCAATTTCTCTTGGAATCTGCATCTGCGCGATAAAAAAAAAACTGTTACGCCTCGCATTCAGTTTGAAAATTGTATTATTAGTTTACTTCATCAGCACGTCACTCTTCCAATCACTTGCTTCTACCGTACAAGATGCTACTTCTTTATTAAAATTCACAATTGTGCCCAGTTGTATCCTACAATACAAATGAAACAATTAGTAAAAGATAATTAATAAAAGATGCGATTAATTTAAATATAGAAAATTATAACATTTCGAAAAGCGTATGTTAAATTAATTGCTGAACCTGACGTTCTTATTTCTAGCAGAAAATCGTAAGCTGATATTCCTTTGATCGATAATTCGCAAGCCAAGATATTCATTTAGCTTCATGCAAATCACTTTTATGTGATAGATATCTTTTTTAGGAAAATTTTGATTGTTGCTCGACCTAGAGTTAATAACTTGTTAATTGCAATTATCAAACTAAATAAGAATTAATTTTCTATATAATTGACACATTACTTTTCAACGCGCACGATAATATGTTTAATTCGTACATAAAATATAAATTGTTTTCAAATCAGACAATATTCTTGAGTAAGAAAATGCGCTTAAAAAGGATATGATTATTGTAATTCACTTCCAGGGCGGTCGCGCAATTAGAATGCTTTGTTTGGATAGAATTCGCTCTTTACTTGGCTCTACTTTTTTACTTGACATACTTGTTCCCGACCTCTTCTTGTCGTTCCTCGACAACAGGTTCCTGCACTTCGACGACCTTCTTTTCCTTATTTCTCGAGCTGGACGGTAATATCGGTGTCTTAACATTTCCGGAACTGCGAAGCCAATCAAACATAATCGGAACGTACGACGCGTGTGAACATTTCTGCTCTATACATATCAATTTTTAAAAGCGCATCTCACCTTTTCACCGATTTATTAGTCGGAGAGAAAAGGTCCATTTGCAACCGATCGCTTATGTTTTCCTGCAGTTTTCAAAGAAAAAACTTATTTCTACAATTATTTTTATATTTTGCGCCTCGTAGAAAAAAAAGTTTATTTCCGTAATTACGGAAAAAATAATTATTAAAATAATTATTTTTACATCTACGCTTATTTTTATATTCATTTCGTACAATTTATTGATTAACAATACTATTATTCCAAATATCAAGTTTTGCATAAACAATGTACCGACCGCGTTATTCTGTTTATGGACAATTTCTTAAACCATCAGGATAAATCTGTTATTCCATTTACAAGCTTTAGGAATAACATAAAAGTCGCTTTCACATATTTTCAATCCGTAATCCGTAATCCGATGGAGAAGTTAAAGTAGATGAAAGGTTTTAACTCCGTTCGCTTATTCATGATTGATCGAAAATCTATACTGGTGAGGAAGTGGGAAAAAGTCCGATAAACACCATTCGTACACACCGTGTACACAGTCTCCAGTATCGACTCCCTTGGATTCACGTTCCAAGCCCAAACGAGGGGCGTACCAGCGGGATTGTCCGTAAAAATTCCTCCAATCTGGTTGTAGGACAGTCTGCAAAAGTAATTGGAGTCCTGAATTGGCGAACGAGAGAATTCTCTCGACAGTAATTAAACATTCTTTGTAAATTCCTTTTCCGAACGAACCTCGCTGCGCCATCCATGTCGAAAACGACGCCGTATCCCATGGTGTCGAATATCGCCAAGATCTGAGACACCCTCTCGATCGCCAATGCGTCTTTGCCTCCTGGCGTGAACACAGTATACATATCGTCTTGAAATCGATAGCAGCAATTTTTTTTAAATCCGTTTCGAAAGCCGGTCTGAGATAGATTAGTATTTACGAATGCAATCGTCGCAAATCGAAACGCTTTGGCCAAAGGATTGCCCATAGTTAGTCAATGTAGAAGAAATACTTAACAATTACTATTATTTCGATATTCGTTTTTAACTTTTCGATAGACGACGATAACATCGTGATAGCTGATTATATTACATATGTATATTACATATGTATATATGTATATGTATATATGTATACAGAATATTCCGAAATTATCTAATGTTAATTAGGATAGATGACAGAAAGATATACAATATATTAAGAACGAAAATATATTATATCCGAGAACTTTCATTACGATTAATATTACAGATAAAAAATTTAATCTTTAGTAATGTAATAAAATTTGGGCTTTTTCTTTTTTAATAAAAATACAATTAAAAATGTAATTCAAAACGTTTAATTGACACATAATTAATATGTAAATTAAATCAGGATAATGGACAACTCGTTCCATTTTTCTTCAAAGAACACTTGACACAAACCCGTCAAGAAATCTATGGTTGAGAAACATCCGGTCGTAATGGAATACTCTGTATAAATCGAATTATGTAAATAACTCAATTACATTTCCGGTTTTCCGGTCTGCACACTCTAATAGCCAATACGCCGTTGGGATAAAATAACTCGGCAGAACCATCGGAATGGAATCTCGAAAATAGCGTTAATCCATCGTCGTAATATATCGTGCCCAGATGCCGATATTTTTTGAACCTAAATGTTGTTCAAACAAATTATTGCACCATTTAGCGATTAATTACACAATATCGCATAGCTCTTGATACGGCAAATTAAAATGCATGCTTGTTTGTGATGCCGTCCCATTAACTTTGTTCGTCGGCCTAATTGTTTACTCGTTAGTAACTAATCATGAAGTTCGTGCGAAGTCGGCTGTAACGTTATTTATTCAGCCCGCTATTTAGCCTGCTATTTAGTTTCGTTTATTTCTAAATTTCTACCCTAATTCAGCATTAGCATGTGATCTATTAATTCATCTGATCAAGAGTCGCTAAAATTAATCAGTTTTTAACAAATTAAAATATCACGTTGTCCGACGTATAAGTTCGATACATACAATTTGCGTAATCTTGTAATATGCGAGTAACAAGTCCGCTCGTTACTATTTGAAGCACGTCATTCGAATTTTACATTTTTACATTTTTATCATTTTTTACAGACGTGTCTGAGTATCATTTACCAATTTATATTAGGTTTCGCAGGTCTGGCTTCGTATCGCGCAATCTTTCTCATGATTTTGGTCATCGGTAATTGGGTCCAGCCGAGCTCCACAAAGTGTGCATTTGATAATTGGTACTGGATCAGATTTGAAGAATCTATACAAAACAAAAATTTTTCTACAGTATTCCAAATCTGGTAACAAGAATCGCTCGCACAATCGTTTACGTACAATAATAACACGATTCGTCGATAGTATGAAAAAACTGATGATGGAAAATAATCTCAGTTAATTCTAAACAAGATAATTCCATCCTATCAATGACATTACCTCGCCAAATCATATAAAATTTAAATTTTTAAATTTCCTAAATTAAATTGTAAAAAACTAATTTTTAGATTACCAGATATGTAATATTATTTTTTTTCATATTTAAAAAATTTTAATAAAACGTTTTATTTTAGGCGAATCCGTGTACATTTTCTAGCGAGCCGTTTTCTCGAAAATCGTAATCCTCTGTCCGATCGATGTTACCTTCGCGCTTTCCGCTGTTCGCAGGAAGTTTTCCTTCTTCGTTGACGGTAGAGCGTCCCTTTTCCGCGTCACCAAGCGAATCCAACGTTTTCTCACTCCCAAGTCTCTTATTCTTACTTAACACCGTATCTGCCTCCTCGCCTTTTCTTCTATCTCGATGAGCAACCGAGCTCTCCTCGTTTTCGCGTCGATCGCGTCGACCACTCTCCCGCTCGAATCTTTTGGCCGGTTTTCTCTCCACAGTGACGTTCTTCTCCTCGATTCGATCCAATCGGCCAGTCTTCTTTCCGCTGTTATCTCCCTGCAATCGCGTCTCGCGTTCTTCCCCATATCGTTGTTGATAAGGATTCTTACCGGGATTTCTGCGCTCGCCGCTTTCCTTCTTTTCCTTCTCCTCTTCCTCCTCCGCCGCCATCACGTTCTCCCTATCTCGGTCTCCTCTTCTTTTTTCAACAGCGATCTGCGATCTATTCGCTTCTTCTTGCGCATCACGTTGAGCTGAACGGCGATCTTGCCGGCTCTTACCTGCGACCTCGCCGAGTTCGCGCTGATGCGGATTATTGTCACGTCTCTCGCGTATTCTTTCTGCCATCGTGTCGGTATTTCTTGTACCGTCGTCTCTACGTGCTTCACCTGCCGACGTTTTTGTTTTTCGTGCCAAAGTGAGCGACTGCCGTTCGTTTCCGATAGATCTTCGTCGACGATTCCGTCACGATGACTAATCTCGATGTTTGATCCGATCGGACGTCCGACTCTTTTCGAATCGACTTCTCTTGATATATCTGGGACGTTACGTTGACATTCATCATATCGGATTTTCGTCGGATTTACCTTTATCTGGGAACCGCTGTAGTTTTGATAATTTTCGAATATTATGTATATGTCATCCTGATTAGCAGTGGTAACTAATCGTAACTCTGTATTATCATGGTTGTGCATCTTGACAGAATTCTCTTTCTGTGAATCATTCTTATTGGAATAATTAACTTCGTATTTAGTACCAGTGAAAATGGAAGAGTCTAACTCTGATGTATTCTGCGAAAAGATGATGAATAAATCACAATGGTGTGAGTAAATTCGTCTGTAAAAGTACAGTCGCAATGGGGAAATTACATGTAACGCAAGCCATTCCTTCAATAGTTGATCAAGATATTCGGCTTCAATGCAACAATATTTTCTCTGAAATAAATTATGCGGAAATGAATCATTTTTCTTTCTAAGAGAGAAAAGAAAAATTATTAAATCTCCTTTTATATATTTCATCAGAGTGTTATGTTAATAACTTGTATTTTATACCGCGTATTGCCGAGTTTCATCGTTGATAATGCTGTCGCAGAATTTGCAGATTTTTAAATCCCGGGATCCCGTTTCACATGGTCTTTCTCCCCATTCGCGAATAAAATTACTCACGAGATTTAGGAGAGTCTTTGTCTGAATATGCGCCGGCGGTTCTGCAATATTACAAGATATTTTATGCAATGCGAAAAACATCGGGCGAAAAATGCTATCTCTCGCGAATTAGCGGGCGTAGCAATAAAAATAATTGAAGAGATAGTTTGCTTGCATAAATCGCGGTACTTGTATAATTTATGAGATGGAGAAATAATTCTGTCTAATGTAATATCGCATTTGCAAGATTTATTCAGCATATAAAATTGATACTTGCTTAATTATTTAAATCCGGAAGACATCTAGGTATTTATATTTATGATTCGTTGCAAGTAATTTTAAAGTATAACTAATTTATGAGGATTTAATGTGCAATTATTAATTATAACAATTAGTTTTACATTTGAAAATTGTAAAATCAATAATAGTAAAATTAAAGAGTTAGAAATTAAATATTACAGATCTTGTTAATATCAATTTGTATTATCAGTTTCGTCTTTAGTAAAATTTCTTTTTTGTATAATTACACACACACACACACACACACA